TTTGTTGAGAGTATTTGTCGGTCTCAAACGAACTAAAGAAGGTAAAATTTATGACAGAAATTTAAAAGAATAAAATTGTACTATCAAAATTTAACTTCTATGATTAAAATTTTTTTGATGACGAAATACTACAAATGAACAACCTTTTTTTATACTACATTTGGTACGTAGAATTAATTGTTAATACATTAATTTAAACACTAATTAAAATTCCTAGATGCATGAATAGAAATAAATTCATTTATAATAATTCTAGATTCATGCATATCAAGATTCATCAAGTCAAGAATAGTTGAATCTAGATCAATGTTAATGTTAATTAATTGATAATTAATAACACGAAAATCATACATGATAAGGATTTTCTAGTATTTATTACATATAAAAATGAAAAATAAGGTATTATTGAAATAAGTGAATTGTGATAAGGTTAAAATCGTTCAAAAAATGATTCTCACTTGATGTAATATTATAGATAATGCACATTTATTGGCATCATCTATGATTGTTTGATCACTTGATTTGAAAAAAGACCATTTTCGTCCATTTGAAGATGGAGAAAAATGTTCTTGGTTCTGAAGTACCATATTTTAGTGCAATTGGAGCATTAACTTATCATACAAACTGTACTCGACACGACATAGCTTTCTCTATACATTTCCTTGCAATATATAACTCTACACCAACATAAAGATAGTGGAATAGTGTTAAACATATTTTTCGTTACCTAAAGAGTACTATTGATTTGAGATTATTTTCTTCTCAAAAGTCGGGATCTACTTTAGTGGGATATGCAAATTCATGTTATCTTTCTTACCCACATAAAGTTAAATCACGTGATAGCCCAATAATAACTTACTAAGAGGGGGCGAATTAATTTTTTAAAAAATTTTCAAAAAATTAATCTAAATTTAAGCAAGTAAAGATTAAATAGATTAATTCAAATAATAAGCACACATATAAAAGTGATAAGTAAAAGGGAGAGATGATCTAACAATATAATTGTGGAGGTTCGATCCAAACCAATGATCTACGTCGTTTGTTACCAAGCTCTCCGACACAAGCAAGGACTTTAAACTATATTGATTGACTTATGGTGCAATCTAACCCTTTACAATGATTTCGGTAACTTACAAACAAGTAGCACCGATCCTTATACAATGTTGAGCATTACGGGACCTCAATACGACCTACTATCGAGCTTTCACAGGACCTTAATATGACCCACACGATGACTTACAACAAGGAGCACCGATCCTTATATAATGTTGATCTTTAAGGGATTTCAACACGACCCATACTTTATCAATGTGATTTTACAATGGAATACATCCCTTGATAAATAATTCAAATAAGTGAAGTACTGAGAGGGGCAGACACTTCAATGAATAGTAATAAATGATAGATGAAAAATTTTGATGAATATAATAATAAAAAATTAGATTCAATCAATCAAAGTGTTTCAATGAGAAGATGAAAAAGAAATAAATACAATGTAAGTTCAAAAATTATCAAAATTTTTGTTATGAAAAAATAAATGAAATGAATGTAAAAATGTAAGTTCAAAGAAGATTTTTCACAAATATATTTCACAAGAAAACTCTCTTCTAGTTATTTATGAATGCATAGTGAAATGGTATTTATAGTAGTCAAAACACCCAAAGTTTCTGCCTAATCGGACAACCATACGGACGACCGCCACTGAACCAGACGACTAAACTAGCCGTTGTGCATCAGAAATTAGAACAGTTGAAAAAATGATCGTTGGCGAACCGAACGTCCACCTGGTCAACGGACGTCCGGTTGACTTTGAATTTTTTTGCAAAATGTGGGATTTTGAATGAGTGAGTAATATCAAGTTGAAATTGAAAAATATTTTTTTATGTAAGTGAAAAATACTTTATTAAAAAAGGTGCATAAAAATATTTTTGAGCTTTTATCATTCATTACTAAATATCAAAGTATTAGCACATTTATATTAAGAAGTCTAGTTTTTTATCTTGCTTCAAAGTTTGCCTCTTAGACTTCTCGTCTTAATCTTTCTTTGACGTCGTCTCTCATGCTTTTGATCTTACATTGTCTCAAATAATTTGATTTAAATGCTTAACTTTCATTTTAATCTTCATTTCGAGTTTGATTTGTAATTGCTGATTTTGACAATTCTTGATTGATTTTAATATTGAACTATCATCACTGAAAATCAAAAATTAGAAACAATATTAATCTTATTTGTTATGATAACAAACATTAAGGATGAAATCAACAATATGTTTACAAAGTGTTTTTATGAAATAATTTTTTCGTGTATAAAAATATTTTTGAGCTTTTATCATTCATTACTAAATATCAAAGTATTAGCACATTTATATTAAGAAGTCTAGTTTTTTATCTTGTTTCAAAGTTTGCCTCTTAGACTTCTCGTCTTGATCTTTCTTTGACGTCGTCTCTCATGCTTTTGATCTTACATTGTCTCAAATAATTTGATTTAAATGCTTAACTTTCATTTTAATCTTCATTTCGAGTCTGATTTATAATTGTTGATTTTGACAATTCTTGATTGATTTTAATATTGAACTATCATCACTGAAAAACAAAAATTAGAAACAATATTAATCTTATTTGTTATGATAACAAACATTAAGGATGAAATCAACAATATGTTTACAAAACTCTTGATCTTGTTCTTTTTCACGAGTCCGATTTGATAGTTTTGATTTTGATCTTTTAAGCTCTTGTCTCGAATAATTTGACTTGAATGCTTAACTTTCACTTTGATCTTCATTTCAAGTCCGACTTATGATGTGTTGATTTTGACAATGCTTGAATGATTTTAACGTTGAACTATCATCTCTCAAAATCAATTGTTAGAAATAATATTAATTTTGTTTGTTATGATCAAAACATTAAGGATGAAATCAACAATATGTCAACATCACAAACATGATACACATAGAGTAACAGCTATATCATGGAGATCGGTGAATCAATCTTTGACAGCAATATCCTCAAATCATTCTGAAATTATTACAATCCATGAAGAAGATCGAGAATGTGTATGGTCGAGGAACATAACTCATCATAACCAAGCATCATTCTGATTAATTTCAACAAAAGATACTCCAACAATTTTGTATGAAGACAATGATACTTGTATTGCACAACTCAAAGTAGGTTATATTAAATGTGACTGGACGAAATATATTTCTCCAAAATTTTCTCACACATGAGTTTCAGAAGAATGACGACATCGATATTCAACAAATTCGCTCAAGTAACAATGTAACATTTATTTACAAAAATGTTGCCAACATCTATATTCAAGAAATTGGTTCACAAAATTGTAATGCTTCGAATCAAAGATTGTTAGTGATTAACATGAAGGTAGTTGTACTCTTTTTCCTTCGTTTAGATTTTATCTCAATAGGGTTTTCCTAGCAAAATTTTAATGAGGCAGCATTCCAAAATAACTATACTATTTTCCTTTCATTTGATTTTTTTGTCATATTGAATTTTTATCAAATAAGGTTTTAATGAGATAGATATTTTGTAATGTGTCATCCAAAGGAGAGTTGTAAATAATAGGTTTATTAGTGAATGATAATTGTATCCTTGCAACCCTAGAAATCATTATTGTTGTTGTTTTATCCCTAATCCTTTCCTACAAAAAAAGGGGCTTTGATCCTCGTTATAATACACACAAGTCTACTGAATTTTATTATCTCCACTCTCTCTCTCTTCACAACAAGACTCACCTTCTCCATTTATTTCTTTTTTATATCTTTCCACTTTGAAAACGAAATTTTATGTTTATTTTACATAAAAAAGAAAAAAAGAACTCACATAAGCAAGGGGAAGGAAAAAACATAGTGAGGAGTATCATTTTAAGTTTAGAAGTTGTGGTGGACAGAGTGATTGTAGATAAAAATTATTGAAAATCAATTTTGGACTAGACTATCTATTAACAAAATATCAATACATTAGAAAATTTAAGCACGAAGTTATCACATTCTCAACGTGGAAAATAAATGAAGAAAATTTAATATTTTCCATTGATTCGAAGGAATTCACTACATGAAAATGGTGATTGATAAGTGTCCATCCATCGTTCGCGATGAGAGCTCTTTTAACTTACACCTCACACACCATCCCCTCTCTATAATGCAAAACCTTCTCTGGAAAAACGGGATCTTTTCTTTATTGACTCCTAACCAGGGGCGGACCCAGCACCCGATGAGCCCCCTCGGCTTCCCGTGCTTAGATCCACCGGGAACTTTTTTTTTTGACAATAGATAATTTGTTTAGCTTGTGTAACTGTTATTTCATTTTATTTTCAAATGCCTCATTCAGTTGAGTTGGTTAGAACTTGCAATTCTTATGAGATGTCTCTGGTTTGATTCCCTAGATTGCAATTCATATTTAGTTCTCCAATTTTTACCATTTTACAATTTTTACCAAAATTAATGGCAATAGGGAGGGGGGAGTCGAATCCGTGACTATCCTTAAAAGATTATTGGATTTAGAACACTTGCTAAGTTTGATATTATTGTTAGCATAATAATATGTATTAAGTCTTAATAGTTTTAATGCAATTGTAAAAATTCGAACTCGAGCTCCTCCTTTGAATTATAACTTGGTCACAATGTCATTTAATGAGTATTTTTAACTTGTATAAAAAATTATATATGTTCAATTTGAACAAAATAATTTTTATATTTAAATTTTAGGCTTTGATTCCCATTTTTTTTTTCAAAATACATTTTTCTTTTTTCTTTTCAACCACACAATTTTCAATAAAATAATATTACACGTAAATTTAAAACTTTTCCTTATTTTTAAAAACACATTCTACAGTAAATCACTATTCCAAAATGCATTTTTTTACAAAAATGAGCATCAAATGAGCTCTTAATATTTTATTGCTATCGACGGCCAACGGCCGCCCGTGCTGACTTAAAACTGTGGATCCGCCCTGCTTCTAACTCTGCTATTAGTTAAAGAACTCAGATTTGGATTTCAATCGACCATCTGTACATTTCCTCTTGTGGTACAGGGATTTTCATAGTCACCAATCCGGTCGCACCTTCGTAGTTAAACTCAGTCTCAGTATTGCCCACCTTGCATTTGATCGGACGCTGAGAACAATAGATGCCAAACCGTCCACATCCCCTCACCTTGAGAACAATGGTAGCTTTTGTATTTTCGCTTAAAGGAAGTTCAGAGGTAACCTCACCATCAATGTTCTCAGGTTTCATCTGAGACGTTAAATGGACTTCGAATTGCTCCACCGCACCACTAGAGTTGAGCATATCAAGTAAGCCGATTGGGGCAAAGGAAATGTTTGTTGTAACATCCTGCATATTAATGCAATAGACAGTTGAAGACTAGATTTTAATAGAAATAAGAACTCAGTTTGATATGGTATAGAAAATCGGTTCAAGTCTCGGTCATCCATTATGAAAATTGTGACCCGGTAAAAAGAGGTTAGACTACAGAAAACTCACCTTGACGGGACAGAAGTGGAAGAGTTCATAATCGAGGACTCGAAGTGTAACAGGCACTGAAGCACCTTTTGGCAATCGAACAACGTCCCCTGTTCTAGGGGAATAAACTATTGTATCCCCATTCCAATCTTGTCCAGCAATCTGAGCTATGGCATCAACATCAGTGGCTTGAACAGAACCAGACAGAGTTCCAGGAGAGGCATCATGAATTCGCGTCTTCTTTGTTACCTTGCACCAACCAGCACCTTGGCAGTTGAAAATGCCAACCACTCCACAACATTTGTTCACGTTCCAGATTTTAAGCAAGCTGGATAATTGAGCATTGCAATTGAGTTTTATCTGTAGACAAGCTTTAAGGATATAAGACAAATGAAAATGACATTGCAAACCTTGTCCCGTCTCTAGCTGGATCAATGAAGAGACAGTCAATTGTGGGTCGCCCGGGTAATTGTGCACGGAGAACTGATCCATCGGGAAGCACCAGTTTTTTCAAAAGCTCGAAATTGTGGTTACCAGGCTTGTCACTAAATAGAGAGAAAGAAGAAGAGGGGGGTTCGATATTATGTTTTGAATGAAGAGAAATACAGAGAACGAACTAGAATGGCATACGAAGATACCTAACATAAATTGGACATCCTCCAATAGCTCGAGCTGCAGCATGATACTCAGCAGCTGGGTGTAGGCTCTGCAATACAAGTTCACCAGTCACTATATGATGGATATATTGTGATTACGTATATGAATCCAAATATGTTTGATAGTAAAATTAGGTTGATCTGTAGTCAAGAGGATAAGTATATAGTACTTGATCAGACACTAATTGGAGAAACAATTTTGATATCAATAAACTTGATCCGACACTAACTAGATGAACAATTTTGATATCAATAAACTAAGTTCATGTGACAAATACTCACGTGGAACATATCCCAATCAGGTTGCATGAACTCTCCCAAGAACACTGTGTTGTAGGCCACAGACGAGATATGGATGGTGTGAGAAGCAGGATCACGAGGATAATAATCGTCAGAAGCTCGAACTACAGCAGTCTGCTTGGCACTGTATATGCCATCAGTATTATGACACATGCAAGCAATGCATCCATTATCAGTAAAATTTCGAGCTATTGAGGCTTCTAGTGCCTGGTGGTAGCTACGAGTAAGAGAAACTCGGCCACCATGCCCAGCACCAAGAGTCTCAATGATATTCTGTACATCAACTTTGACTCCATCTACTCCACAAGAAGCCAGATAGGCATGAAGCTCATTGTAGAAATTGAAAACTTTCTTTGGGTGCACCAGACCCAAACCGTGAATTGCAAGGCTGTCCATAACAATATCGGGTTGGTTGCCTAGTACACCAGGAGACTGAACGGGGTACGCCAAAGCAGTATCATAATGTTCCATACCAGAACCGGCTGGCTGCACTCCACCCCAGTAACCTGCGAGTGCATGCCATACGTATACATACCTGTGGAACAGAGGGAATAACAAGCAAAGTGCATCATTAAGTACATCATACGCCTTGCTTGCTGAACATTTGCATATGCAGACTGGAAATTACAACTCTAGTTACAAGATCGACAGAGGAAATAAATGGTAATGATATTCTAATAAATACTATTTCAGAACAATATAAACATGCTCATTTTGACCCTGGGCATGGACACATGATAATATAGATATTCAAGAAAATGCGGAAATTTACTCTAATATATAGCAAGCTAAAAGACCTAGCGGGGAGAACTTACTTAACACTGTGGCGTTGCTTGGCTTCATCCACTACGTGTTTGAGGCCTGATTCATTTTCTTCATTCTTTTTATTCTTTTGGAATTTTGTGTTTTCCTTTATTCCCGTTAGCCTGTTGGCAAACCTACAAAGAGCACAGAAGCATCAACACTGTATCAATAGCTCAAGAGTTAACAGAGTGTAAACAAAATATTTAAAATTATACCATAATCAAGCTGCACAAATATATTTCCAAATGCAAGCATTATAAAGAAAGTTTAATTGCTATTCTAAACCATTTATTTTGAGATATAGGACTAGGTGTCTTACTGTGCGCCTTCTTGCACGATACAATTAGTGTCTTCCTTGACCTCACTACCAATTTGTTGCCAGCCATCATCTATTATCAGGAAACGTGGAGGTGTACCTCCGTCAGACAAGCTGCAAGAAAAAATAAATTAGCAAATTGGATCTCAATTTACCATGACTTCCCCACCTTATTTGTCGTTTCAGGGCTTGGAAACTAAAAAAATAAAAATCACCAGGTTTTACCTCTTAAGGCCTTCTTCAACACCTTCGGCAGTGACATCAGTGTAGAAAGCATCCCACGTGCACCAACCGAACCAGTCAAGCAATGAGGGCAACTACAATCCAAGTACAAAATATAGTATCATATAGTAAGTGAATGGAAGTCAAAATCATCATCTTGGTCAAAATTCATCAAGCATTTATGAAGTACATCTTAAGAAGAGACTCATACCTTCTTCTCCTCTCGGTGATGAAAAGTTTGCAAATGTTGCTCAACAGCTCTGTTTCACAGAAAAAAGGCCGCTCATATTAACGAACGGGGCAAAAAGAATCACCAGTGCTAAATTCTTAACAACCAGGATAGTTATCACTTGGGTTACAATGTTTTACTATCAAAAGGTATCTCGCTCCTTTTCAAGAACACGAAGTGGGAAATGTTCACTTACTTCACAGCGTGGTTGATGACTTCAAAAGGATTGGTCCCAGCATGCATGTAAACAAGGTAAAGTCCTTGGTTGGTTTCAACAGCATTATCACCTGCAAAAAATAAGACCACAAAAAACAAGTTCGTTTCAATTCTTGTTAACTTAATCCTTTCTAATTTATCTTCCTCACAATTTTATAAACTCCATTCGTGCATTCATATGAGAGATTTCATTTCTTCATGTCAGCGGAGTTTGCTTAAGTAACTACTCTACCCCTATCGATAAGGCCATTAGTCTCTTATGTATGATTATGATGAACAGGATGTGACCGGCCTTGCAAAAGATATGGCTTAGTGTAATTGGCAAAGCAGGAAGCACGTAGTCCACATGGTTGCACAACATTTTTGGATGCATATTGAGCATGTCAAATACTTTTTGATGCCATTAGCTACTCACCACTCTCAAGGCAGATCTCCAGCTCATTATTTTCATTGCCTTGAAGAACTGCACGGAATTGGCCTTCAAGGAGAGGCAACAAGACAGTATAGATGGTTGGAGTATCTTCACACTCGCTTTCAGTTGTTTCTTTGCTCTCCACAAGCATGAATTGGGTCTCCAGGGGAATCTCCTTTCCACAGGTTCCCATCCTCTGAGTCATCCACCAAAGCTTGAAACGGAACAAACACATGAAGCGGACATCCCTGTTACAAAAGTTGATTAGGCAACAACATTTTTAAATTATGTTTCGAAACACACATAATTTTTACTTCTTTAGACATGTTTAGATAGGATGGCCCACGAGTCCTGATAATAATCAATGATATTTATGAAAAGGAAATCTTGATGTATTAATATTGTATCAATTTTTGCTTCCCATCCAGAATCAGTTAAATGAGATTCCTCTAATTATTTATCCAAGAACACGCTTCAGTAGTACAAGTAAATGACGAGTTTTGCTGTCCTGTGAAGTAATGTGATAGGTAATTTATCGTATCAACTTGGCGATCCTCAACGTTTCAAGTTTTCTTAATAAAATCCTGAGTAGCAGTTTGAGTGGGTCAATCAACAAAACACTTGAAATATGTTATTGAGAAACTGACTGGTAGTTAATAGAAAGTTTTTTCTGACTTAAGCATATTTGTCACAGAAATGAACAATGAATTTGTTAACATATAGTGCTTACTCTAAGACACCAACAGGGAAGACATGCAGGCTCTTGCTTTGTGAAGCAGTAGCACCAATGAATGCACCAGCAACAACCCCCACACCTGAACCGTGGGTGAGCACAATGTTGTCTGGCACCCCAGTGAGCATTGTTTTCCCATGAACCACAAGTTTTCCATCGTTGATAGAGATACTTGGTGTAACAGTCATCTTTGCGTGCTCGAGGACTACCTGATGGTTAACTGTATACACAGCAAAATAATAAGCATGACTTGGAACAATGGAAGCCAATTTCAGGAGCCGATTGCAAATAGCATCCAAAAATCATTAATACAGAGAGAGAGAGAGAGAGCAGTTATTAAATTCAATCAGGTTAGATGCATCTGAAGATGGTAATAAAAATATTAAAGAAGATGTGTACCATCTGAGTCCACTTGATTCTGGGAGTAGTGTCAGCTTACCAGATATACATCTTATCCGTATTATATTTGAAACTTAAGTATACAAAGGAACACATGGACATACAAACAGATAATCATTAAATCATTCCCCACGAAAAATGTTTTAGTTAAGATACGCCACAATCTGACAATAGCATGAATCCTATTCCGAATTTTCTGATTCGAAATCACTCTGCAGACTGCAGTCTTATATGATGATAACAATGGAAAACAGAGCATTTACTTATCTACAACCATACCCTAAATGCTGGAAGCTGTGCCTCACCATTCAATTCGAGAACAACAGAGTATAAACTCTAGAAAGCAAAGGAAAGGACACTTTAATTGATGGAAGTTAACTGCAAATCTAGAGAGATACTTGGTACATCTGACCAAAATTTAATTCCAGCAGCTTAAATTTCCACTGTAAATATGTAAACGTCACTGTAGACAATCTCATATAGGCTTTATCTTTTTATTCCAGAAAAACAATGCAGGTATAAAAGTTTGATTCAGAAGTACTAAACCAGAAGCTGATAGAGTGATCACTTCAAATACTCCCGAAAAACTCAATGTGGGAACTGAAAATCGAGTCAGGGATAAACATAAGCTTGACGTAAAATCATACTTTTCCAAATATGCACCAGATTTTCATGACAAGATTTATTAAAAAAAATGAATATCACTAAACTTCATTGATAGTTTAGAGCCGCCTTCTATAACGAAAGAGTTCACAGAAACTTGTAAGAAGCTAGCTATTTTATTTCGGATGCGTTTAAATTTTTAAAAAGTAAATAAAAGTTTCTAATTTTTTAGTAGAATTCTGAAATTTTAAGGAAAGTTATTAAAAACATTTAATAAAAATATTTGATGTACGATTCGTTGTAGACACAATTTGTTGCTATTTTCAACCAAGAACTAACTTATTGCTGAAAAAAAAAAAAAAAAAAAA